AAGACAATTTCGATACAGAAATATCTTTGTTTTTGAGTTTCGGGCGAAGTGTTTCTCTCAGGGATCTCAATTCTCGAACCCATTTGGGATGAGTTAAAGGTTTGGCGATCCCAAAGGGTGCTGTAGGAAAAGTGGGAAGGTGATTGGGACAATACATTTCAAAAGGTGTTTTTCCTAAAGGATTGATTATTTTGTGGTTCGATCGATTGGTGGTTGTTTTATGGGATAAGGAAATAACAACATCATAGAAGGTCGATTCTAATTTCAAAGGGTTGTAACATATTTGATAAAAATTCTCGAATCGAGATATTTGAAGACAGTGGAAATGTGTACCTTTCTTCGCTTTCGATTTGTCCTGCAACACAAGAGAAGGATGAACAGTCCATTTTTGTCGGACTTCGTCAAAAGTAGAGCGATTACTCGAGAACCAATCGGCCCACCATTGAGAGAAACCCACAGTGGATAAATAATTTGATTCGAAAGCATAGGGATAAAAAAGTAGTGGGGTTTGTGGTAATAGTTTGGTCAGCTCCCGTCCGATCGTCGATTCACTCAACTTGGACCTTGGAGAGGTATCAAGGGGGAAGAAGGGTAAAGATTGGCTCAAACCAAACTGTCTCGAAAAAAGTTGAGGGTAGTATGTGATAAGCTTAAAATCCTTAGATTGGAAACCCGATACTAGTACATCCTGAGTTAAATAATTACTCCATACATCGACCAACTCTGATTGTAACCCAGGAGTTGAGGCAGGGAATTTTGACTTAAACCAAATTTGCCCTCGAAGTTGGTCACTAATTCTTCCAAGATGCACAATAAAAGGAGCCAAAGTTGAATCGAAATTAAACCTAGTTAGCAAAAATTTGAGATATCTACAATAAGCTGTTTCGTCGGGCTTGTGGTGAGGGTGGCGAGAAGACAATCGAGCACCTTCTATATTTACACTTGGGGGGATAGTGGAAGTTGGGGGAAGGATACTCTCGAAAATCGAATTCATCCATAACTGTATAAACCAAATAGGGCCAGAAAAATTTCCCGAAGCTTTGGGGGTACTCAAAATCTTGACAGCCTCATCGAGTGCAGTATATACATGGGCTAACAAAAGTTTGGCTAGACATATCCTAGGCTGGCCAGTATGAAGAAAGTAGGCAAGGTGGTAGAGGTGGGAGGAAATTTGGATCGATCGGGGGCAGAAAACATGAGTACACAACCAGTAGACCAAGAAGGTCAGGTGCTCCTCATCAGAAACGACAATTGTTGGGTCATCGATAAAATGTTTCTCGAGAAAGTGGCCATTAGCTTTCGATTCTCAATCGACTTTGGACCTTAGAGAATTATTCGAAGGGTAAGCACCCTTATAATACTTTTCCCCGGTGGGTTTCAAACCGGTAATAGCAGCAATCTCAAAGAGGGTGGGCGAATAGGGACCGCAAGGTAACTCCAAAGCATGCAAGTCCTTATTCCATAGATGCACAACAGATAAAAACATAGCCATATCTAAATGAGAAGAGTCGGATCGAGACACATGCAAGAAATCAAAAATCCCCACATCCCTCCAATGGTTCCCAAACTTGGTTTGCACTCGATCAAACCACCTAATATACGAGGGTTTTTTGAAAGGGGGGCCCGTTCGATATACTTTAGAAACCATATTCAAAAAATCAGTTTGAACTTCAACTTGGTGAATAAGAGCCTGGCTATTCGAGAGGTTGAGGGATGAAAAAGTTCCACCATTAGAACGAATAGGACCCCCAAAAGCAAAATTTATACCATCAGCAGAATAAGGGATGAGTACCTGCGTCTCAGCGACTTTCTGAGAAGCTTCCTCCATTAAAGGAATTGGAGCAAACTTCTGATTGTTGATCTCCAGAAGGCTAGACGCCAACGAGGGAAGGAGTGGGGCTGAAAAGTCAGAAGATTTAGATGAAGTTGCCATTTCAATAAACTGGTAGAATGGAGGAACAAAGGGCAAAAGGCGAAGTAGTAAGGTTGAAAGACAGAGGCGCAAGGTAGAAGATGAAGATTGCAATGAGTAAAAGTTCGCGTAAAAAATCAGGGTAAAAGACTAACAAAGAGTTTAAAGGAAAAGCCACCTAAGGTACTGGAAACGTTAGAGGCGAAGGGTAATTAATGTGGCGTGTACAGTAAGGCAGCAGACTGACGCGATGACGACATAAAGAAAAAAGAAACCTAAAAACCCGGTAAACCCAAAAACCCCAAAAACCCTAAACCCTAAGTTTTGTGGGCCTCCAAATATCAAGGCGGGAATGTTGAAAGAATATAAACGAAAATTATTTATATTCTTTCAAGGGGGCATTTTGTTAGTGGAAAATCGAGCAAAAGTGATCGAAAAACGAAGGAAAGAAAAATCGAGAAACATGTGATTCATTGATAAATCGAAAAGGTGGATGAGAAACCATTCGATGTTCAATTAGAAGTGCGTGACATATAAAATCGAGAGGTAGAATCAAGAATCGAAGGAATAATAGTTAAATATCTATTGTTGAATAAAAAAAACCAAGAAATTAGAAGTATATGACGTTAAGGTTAAAAAGAATCGAAAGTATTTCAAAGTTCTCGAGATCTTGAAATTGAAATTGAGGGGAAGATTAACTTACGTGGATATCGAAACCTTGGTCAAATCATAAAAAGAGGAATAGTTAAACACACAGATAGGAAGTAGTTTTTTAACCGTGGCAGAGGTCGAAGATCATGGGAACGTGGGTGCAGTTTTAACACCACAGGGAAAGAAACTGCAACATGCACGAAGAACGTGGTAGCAGTCTCGTTAACTGTTCCTAAGAGACTACTTGAAAGATGATCTATAAATAGAGCAAAAAAAGAAAAGAAAGGGGGTGGAAAATTGGCAGAGAATAGAAATACTAGTGAGAAGTCTACCGGAGAACGACGAACATCATGAAGTTTCTGGCGATCTGGATTTCCACGCTCATTGAGTACCTTTACCGCTTTCTGTATTTTCCTTGGTAATTTACTTTGATGCATTTTATGTTTAGCAACTTTAAGTTTCTGTGTTTTCGATTCCCGGTCAATTTTAGTTTAAAGGAAGTTAAGTTTTCTACATTTAAATTTCTTGTCTTTTAATTTCGATGCAAATTCGATTTTCAGTTATTTATTATTTCTGCATATTTCGATTTCCCATTAGTTTTGCAATTTCGATTCCTTGTCATTTACACTTAATGCAAGTTTAAGGTTTCCGTACTTTACATTTCGTCGCAATTTAATATTCGGTACATTTTTTTTGATTTGATATTTTACTGTCATTTTCTCTTCGAGTACTATAAATACAAAATACCAAAAATAGTGTTTTCGATAAGTCATGACACATTAGTGGGATTTTCTCAATATAGTGGTATTTTCGATTCTCATATGCATTTCGATTGAAAAAAAAAATAACATTTGCTAGCCTAAGTAAAAAGAACTTGCATGGTTGAGTTTTAGTTAGAACAAAATCTCTTAAGAATCGGAATCGATCAAAATTCCACCATATCTTAATTTCACTTAAAAATCACTTTATTTTATTGAAACTAACATTGTCATAGTCTTGTTGTTAGTTTTTTAAAAATGATTTATTATCCTTACAGTATTCATTCTAACAGTTTATAACCATGTTAATTGTTAAGTATATCTGTGTTCAAAAGTCGAAAGCTTCTAATTAAAGACATGAGAATAGGTCAGAAGCAAATTTAGAGCAATTTTTAAGAAGTAGAAATATTTCTTGCCCTTTATTACTTTTTTAGAAAAAATAATCGAAAATAATAATGACACCAAACACCCATTTATCCTATTATGTAACATATGCTTCTTCTTCTTTTTTTCCTGTATATGCTGTTAGTTGCTTTACCTCTGAGAAATGATTTAGTTTTGAGAAGAAGAGAATTTAACCATAATTTATTCACAGTAATTAAATTAATTACAACAAAACAACTATGGTTCTTTAGATTTATTTATATTTTTTTGTGATGAAATGGAGAGAAAGTGGGCCTCCAAATTCTATTCTGCTTCGTTGTTCCTCTCTCTCCATGCTTCCAGGCTAATCTTATTCGCTTTCATGCGAGTTGATATCAGAACATATTGCGTTTGGTGTTTGAACTAGTTTCTAAAATATGCATTTTTTTCAATTTATCATTCAAACAAGTGTTTTTCTTTCAAACTTTTTAATTTGAAATAAACAACAATTAACGTTGTTGAGTTTCCTCTCATCCTAGTTTTTCTCTGTCTTGAAAAATCTCCATCCATGAAAACACTTAACTGGTTTATATTACATACGTTGAAGAATTGAGCATCAGATTTTATTTGTTGCTCAAAACGTCAACTTACTCATGCTGCATCAACTTTTCTTCAATAATATCGTCGCTATTTGTTTGGTGGATTACTTTTCCCTTTTCCAAAGTCCATTTTTTTAAAATTTTCTGCTTGAATTCGTCAAAATATACAGATAAGAAAAAGAAAACACCCACTTGACTTTGGAATTTTATTTTGTACGCACACAGAACTTCAAATTAAACGAAGCTTATCACTTCCTTTCTCATAGTGGCAATGCGCCTACCTTGGCAAATCACGATCACACCATCAACGGTGACTCATTTTACACGTGCATAAATAGCGTATACCATATTAAAAAATTGCGAAAATATGAATAAACTAATAATGTTGATGGACATGCGAAGATCGAAATTAACGAAACCTAACATTGGAAATAATGTGTAGTTCATTTAAGAACAAAATGTGATTCATGTGGGTGAGTAAGCTTTGTGTGGCCCAAAACTACGTCCTAACAAATTAAATGGTTCCATTCCATCGTTGCTTTATCTCGTGGATCGATTCATTGAATGTCTGTGTACCTCCATCTTTAGCCGAAAGAAGACCAAAATTTTCACCTTTTCTAAAATGGAATCTAAAACCCAACGAGTTAGCCCAAAGAATCCCCACCTATATACACAAAATAAACATTATTTTGCTTTTCCATTAACCCGGCAAATTCATCATTGTCTGAACCCGAACCCGACCGGCTGAACCGGGAACTTAAACCCACACGTGTCCACCGAGTTTTGAAACCCCTGTGTGAAATCGTTCTGAAGAAACCACGAGTTATTGCTTTGGTTTCTTACGCCGCTTTGCACCTCTTCCTCCATTTTTTGCGGAAGCGAGGAGTCCACGTGGCAGAAGGTGGGGACATAAAGGTCATTGCACCCGTTGTAGTTCACCATCCCCTGAGTATGGTCCTGCACTACTTGATTGTTCCCCGAAACGAAATCAGACACGGAATTCAGAACCGCAGGGTTGGCCCAATCCACCAACCCACCCGCACCTAGGTTCTGAACGTTCACCTTCTCCTCCTGCTGTTGCTGCACTGCGTTGACACGTGGCATCGCGAAACACCGTTCGTCGATCGCAGGCAGCGATTCCAGAACGTCGTCTAGGTGGGACGAAGACGACGACGAGGAACCGTTGCTGTACTGAGTGTGTTCCCTGCTCGAAACCATGCCGTTCTGCACCGCCTTCTGTGCACTCGAGTTCTTCTTGTATATGCGACACAGAACCCAATCATCCAGCTGCACCATCAATTAAACGCTCCAGTTAATAAAAGCTGTAATAATTAACGTTTATGACATTTTAAAGATTATTTATTGCTCCATAAATTATCCAGGTGTTTTTAATCTATGTTTAATTAACTGATACTAAAGAAACTAACTTAATTACTGAGAATATGCGTATGTGTGTTTACCTTGGTGCCAGTGGTCTTTCGGGAAGAGTCAAGGAGGCGATACTCGTGCATGATCCAATTGGTTTTGGTGCCTTTGGGAGCTTTGCCAACGTAAAAGACGAGGGCTTTTTTTATGCCAACTTTTCTTCCTTCTGTGGTGATGATCTTGTCGGTTCCGGTGGCTTTCCAATAACCCGACCCGGCTACTCTGTTGGGTCGAGACCCGTTTGGGTACTTCCTGTCTCGAGGGCTGAAAAAGTACCACTCTTTCTCCCCGAAAATCGCCTTGCCTGCAAAATTAACCAGTCCTCTCAGTTCAATTCAGAACAACAAACTAATTGACATTTACAAAAAAGAAATAAAAATAAAGGAAATTGTAATTACTTGGAAGAATCCACGGGTCGAACTTGTACAAATCAATCTCAGCAATAATTGGGAGAGAGAAATGGTGGCCGGCGACCTTGCGGCAGAGATACTGTACGAGAAGCTCCTCGTCGGTGGGGTAGAACCGAAAACCAGGAGGCAGACTCAACTGGGAAAGAGGGTCTTTCTCTGAAACTCCCATTCTCGAAAGCAATTCAATGGTCTCAGAAGATCAACAAGGAGAACACAACAAACAGAAGCGGTGATGTGGAAGACGATGATGATGCTGAAGTAGAAGGGGAAAATGTTTTGTTTTCTCTTCCCTTTTTCTTCTTTTTTTTTTTTTTTATTCTCAGAAACCAGTAGACATGGGTCGATATTTATAGCATCACATGGGGTAGATAAGTACGGTTATCTTTGTCTTACTGTTGGAGGGTGGGGCCCACTTGAGTTGCTCACCTCTTGGACTTCACCACGTGTCGAGAACAAAAAAGCATCCAGACAGTCGACCTTATCGGTTCCGATACGGTCGTGGTCGTTCGGTAGGTGCATTGCATGTAGCCGTAAAACTTAAAAGTTAAAAAAAAAAAAAAAATTAAAACAATATAAAAGTATTTTTCATTCAAGGTTAAACGAAAAAGAGAGGAAATATCCACCCGGGATCGAGAAATTGGCGTCAAACTTAAAATCCTAAATTAAATATACCAAAAAAAAAATGAAAATAGACATTCAACGTTCATCATATAAAATAAAAAAATGAAAATATGTTTGTGTGAGTGTTCAAAATTTTATTATTTTATTGCAATAAAAGCATACGAATCATATAAGAAGACGACGCGTGTAATTGTATTGAACACAAGACATATTGGGATGATTAACCCGCTTAAGACATCATACTCCGTAAATAATTTGATTCAATTATAATAATGTGAAAACATTCTTTAAATATGAGAAAATTTGTTAAAAATCACTTACTAAATAAGATTGTAAATAGCTCTAAAGAAATTTGAATATGCAAGCATGAATCACGAGTGACACAAATATTTGTGGGACACACGTTAGCGGTAAATTTAGAAACTGCGGTAAACGATAAAAATATGACAAACAAATAGTCATTAAATTGATTTAATAGCATAAAGTGGGGAATTAAAAAAGAAAAACATTTGATACGCGAAACTATTTTGAGTGTTTATTTAAAAATAAAAAGGAGAAGAGAACGAGTGATTTAGTGACAGGTGTTAAGATGGTCGTGCATGTTCATTGTTCTAGAAGGGGATTTGTATGTTGTATGTTGTATGTTGTATGTTGTGTATTGTATCCACTAGTTTATGCGCAGTGGTGGTGTGGGACCAGTGTATAAAGAAAAGGTGTGAAAGATTGGGGCGAAATCATTTTTCACGCGCGAGTTTAAACCACGTCGGCAATGCGAAAGGAGAGGGTGCGGGAAGGGTGTACACGTGCGGGCACGTGTCTATGTGAGAGAGAGACTGAGAGAGTTAGGCTGGAATTTTGTTGCAACGGGTAACATAGAAAACGAAAGCACAAAGCAGCACATAAAGTTCGTGCGGTGGTTGCTTCCACCATTCGACACGTGCCCCTCCTCTCAATTTCTTTTTTCGTGCTTTTCTTTTTCCCCTTTTTAATCTTCTTATTATTACGTGTTTCTTTCACTCATCAATCAAACTCATCGCCACGCTTACAAGTATGAACACAATAGGTATGTTAGGGTGTGCCTTCGCTTTCAAGGTTTAGGGTCCTTTTCCACGAAAAGATAGGCTGATGACGTGGCTGTCACGGTCAAAATATTGGAAATTGTAGTGTTGAGTTATGTTATGTTATGTTATGTATGATGTTATGCACTCGCGATTCTTCCTCCATGATTGGTGACGTATTAGAGTTTTGTGGACGTGGGTTTGAGATAGGGAAGGGAACAAACTATGATCGGCATGTTTTGGAAATGTGTAAGAAAAGGTAAGGGCGAGAACAAAAAATAATGTGACGTGGAGAGGTTTGTGGATTACGATTTAAGAAGTGTTATGTGGTACATTGAGAGATTAATTGTGCGGTTGACAAATGATGCGAAAATGTTGAAGATTGGAGAAGGAGATGCAATGTGGTCAATGTGGTGTTCCTTTGAAGGTTTGTCATGGGAATTGGCCTTGTGCCACGTTTGGGTTCCAAGTATAAGAGGTGGCTTTAGTTCAATGGTTAAACGAAGCACAAGGACGAAATGGGAAGAGTCATTCAAGCCACCTACTATATACTCTTTTGTTGGTTTTGCTTTTACAAATGCCAAACAAACATTGCATTTAATTAATCTTTTCTTCTTCTATTTCTTTTTATCTAGTAGGTACTACACTAGACATGTATGAAGTGTTTTAGGTGATGTAATTTTGTCTTAATTGCTTAACAGTGTTAAAATTCAAATTTTGCTTCTCTACCCTACTACTTCTTGCTTTGCTAATTATTCATCTTTTTTCCATGCCCACCCTTCTTGCATGCTTCCTTTATGTAACTTGACTAGTATAGATATGGAAGAAAAATTCGTATGGCCTATAATATTGACGAGTTTATTCATTTTCTACTTTTTACCAAAAGCTTGGTCAATTTTTCAATCTTTTTCTCGCATAGATTAAGGTTGTTTTTCTTCTTAATACTCGCGCGGCTACTATATAGTGGTTTTTTAATTATTATTTTTGCATGATGTCATATTCTATAGTTTCAAAACACAAATCATATACAAGACTGGTAAACTTTGTATTGCGAATAATTTAAAAGTCTTTTCGATTGTTTTCTTTTCTCTTTAGCCGTGACTTGAATCCATTTTGAATTGTAAAATGGGTGATCATGTCAAACTTTACCTCATTAAAATCACATGCATAAATGAAGGTCTTGGCCAGGAAAAGAGAAAGGAAAAACACGACTGATAGCTGTATTATTTCATCATGTCAAATTTGTCTGGTTGATCACAAATTTCGAGACTTTTCTCTCTACTCAGGTACAATATTCATAGTTATACATCGATGTGAGATTTATATATATATATAAGGAAAGAATATAATCCATAATGTACTAAAAATCAGTAAGAAGTTAAGAAAACAAACAAATAGGGTCAAGAGGACCCAATAAATCAAGTAGAAAATTCAAGTCCTACCCTTCTAATTAGAAGGAAACTTTCCAAAGTCCAATTAAAGAACGTTATGCCCAGTTCTTTGAGTATGGTGCAATAATGGAAATAAAATAAAATCCCACAAGTCCATTCGAAGGTTGGTGAGGGATATATATCTTATTTTTAGCGGGATAAATTAGATAAAAGAAAGATGACGTAATTTAACTATACTTATATATAAATTGATGTTAAAAAGATGTATCTTAATTTTTAAATTATTTTTAATTTTTTAAGGATGATTCATTGCAACCATTAAAATATGTCACATGTAATTATGATTATAAATAAATTATTATTATATTATAAAATATTTCTATAATTATATATATATATATATATATATTTATTTATCGTATATATAATTTTTTAACAAAGATATATGAGAATTATCGATATAATTATGATTATAAATAAATTATTATTATATTATAAAATATTTATGTATAACGAAGATTATATATATATATATATATATATATATATATATATATATAAATAATTGTTGTATATATAATTTTTTAATAAAGATATATAAGAATTATCATTACATGTATCATTGTTATATGTCTCTTTAAAATTTACAATTTTGTTTATTTTATTTATTTTATCTTTGTTTTTCTACTTTTCTTTTTTTCTTTCTTTCTTTTTTTTTCTTTTTTTTTCTCTTTTTTTTTCTCTTTCTCTTTCTTTTCTTTCTTTTTTTCTTCTATGTTGCAACTCTTTTCTCCTTTTTTATTTATTGTAATTTAACTATTTTTTCTTTTTTTTTCTCTTTTTTATTTTTCTCTAAGTTTTTTTTTTCACCGTAAATATTTCAATTATATATATCTCCAACACACTTAAAATTGTTATAGGAGAAAATAATAGTAAAAGTTAATGTTTTATTGAGACAAAAATAGATAACAATGTTTTGATGAGACGAAAGTAGAGAAAAATATGTTGTTAAACACGTTGAAGTTGAGTTAGAAGAACAATAATGACTAAATTGTGAAAATTTATAGGTTTGTTGTGACAAATGAGTATTGAAAAATTTTATTGGAAAGGAACAATAATGAGATAATTATGATATATGACGGAATTTTTAGATTTGTTGTAAGAGAATTTTTAAGTTTATTGGGACAAAATAAAATAAGATTATTTTTATATGACGAGTCTATTATTCAAAATACTTATTAATTTATTGGTTTTTAAATGATTATTAGAATAATGATTATTAAAAATTCATTATTATAAATTTTTTAACCCTGATAAAAAAATATTTGTAATAGTGATTGCGTGAAGATTGTATCGAATAAATATCTTTAAGACGTTAGGACAAATAAAAACACAGGCCAAGTGCAGAAATTGGATTCGATATAATGGTGATTGAGATTATAGATAGAGCAAAACAAAAAAGAGAGTGTTTGTTATTAAAAGTTGAAAGGAAAGCGGGAAAGTTTATAGAAGTGGAAAAAGATGAGAATCTGGTGGGTGGCCAAAGCGGAGAGTTGAAGGATGTGTTTTTTGACCGGGGCCTAACCTGAACCACATCTGGTAATGAATATGCTTCTTCACTTCCAACTTCTTTCACATGGAAAACCAACCCCAAAAGCCACTCCAAAACCAGCCAAAACTATACTTTGTCAATTATTACAACGTCCTTTACTTCGGCGCCAAATACTCCTTTTCATTTTTCTTTCAAACAAATATCAACTTAGATTTTTATTCATGTTTATCCATATTTTTAGTATTATTCATATCTATTTCTCACTTTCTATTCATTTTTTTTATCATTACTTATTTATATATATATATATATATATATATATATATATATTTAAAAACAGCAGAAAGAGGGGAGAGAAAAAGAAATATAATAATGTAATGAATGGACAAAAAACATAAATAAACTATATTTAAAAAATGGAGAAAAAAATAAAATTAAGAATATTTTTTAAAAGAAATTAATAATAAAAAATATAGAAATTATGTTAAAATATATGTTTCTATTAATTATATATAAAGAATTTCATTTTCAGTGTTATTATTTATAATATAATATTATTTTTTATCAACTTATATTATATATATATATATATATATATATATAAAATATTATAATCGTTTTTATGTTATAGTTTATCAAATAATATTATTTTGTTATCAAATGTATAATGATTCTTTTTTATAAGAAATACAATGTAAAAAAAAAATTAGTTATTATAACAAGAAGGGGTATGATAGTAGAAATTATAAGTGGAAAGTGAGTAAGAGAAACCTTTAACTATGGATATTCAAACACCATCATCAGAATTCGGTCTCATTCTCTTAAACTCAACTCTTTCTCTTCCCAAAAACATTTCAAAAACTCTTTCTTCTAAAATAGAAAACCTCATAGAGTATTCCTATGTTCCGGAAGATGCTCAAATCTTTGAGACGTGCAATCCTCTTCTTAGTCCTTATAATATTTTTATGAGACAAAAATCTACCCTTAGATCTATCACTCGTCTTCTTTCCACTAGAAGACCTCATGTTAAGGAGTATGTCCAATCCTCCAGGATGGACCAGTGTGCCCTAGCATCAACCACAAAAAAACAATGTGTCAACATTGAGATCCCCAAAGATCTCATCAGGCATTGGCAAATTTAGGGTTATACTCATCTCCATTATGGACCAATCCGATTAGTCCTTTCTCTTCATGAAGGCGAGGATTACCTGTCTCAGCCAGAGTCTCTCTCTTAGATTCCAGCTATCTTCATTATGAGCATGCCGATATCGGCACTGCTCTAACTATTTTTCATGCTGGAAGTTTAGTTCTCACCATCTTTCCCAACTTCAATGTTAGCTTGAAGGATCCCACAATCTCCCAGAGATTAAAAGTTCAGGTCCAGATCACTAGAGCTGAGCAAGTGACTGATGCACTATCAACTACTCTTCATCATTAGATCATATACAGATTGCAAGATCATGCAATTAATCTTGCGTTACCATCCTGTAAAGATGGAACACTATTTATCTTGGCCAACAACCAAGCTGAGACACCCTCTATAGTTCAAATTCCCAAAAATATCTCTTCATAAGAGCTTCACAAGCTTATTCCTATGAAGTGGGTAACAAATTGCGAGAAACTCCATAACAACCAGAAACTCATCCAGTTCACAGAAGCAACATTTAGAAGATCTGTAGATGACACTATCAGAACCATCTTCAAAAATCCAGAAGATGCTCCAAGCTCTAGCACCTCCATATTCCAGTCGATGATAACACCTGCCACCAAGGAAGGCAAAATCCCTATCGCCAGTGTGTGCCCTGATGGAAAACCTATATTTACTGATAAGATAGGGGGACACTTCATCTGGGATGCTGACCCAGACATGTGCGATTCTGACTATGAATGTTGTGACCATTATGGAGACACTAGTGATGAGGATGATGATGACTCAGATAGTGATGATGATGACTTCAAAGGAGGATCCTGCAACCCTCCATTCATTCCTCCCAAAATATTTGAACCTGGAAAAGGCCCGTGGATAGGAATTCACCGCCAATATGAGCTAGATCCCTTGTGAAAATATAGGCGATATGCTGAGATCCTTGAAGAGGAATGCCTCTTCTTCTGTAAACAAGAAAGATGCAGAACCTTTGCCATGTTACCTCAGCCTGTTCCCATAGCTCCTTCCATTCCATGCATGATGATCAACCCTTCAGCCTACAAAGAAGAATTTCCTCCTTTAGAAAGGAACGTTGATCGAGTGTCCAAAACGACTACCAAACCACATGTCGTCTGCCAAGGGATTGGACCAGATAGAAAGATTAAACCATTAAGCCAGGTCGAAGAAGTACTAAATTGGCAGACAGAGAATGTTCGAGCTCAAAATTCTATCCTGTAGAAAATTGATAAAAAGATAGATAAGATCTCCACACATCTCGAGGAGACTGATGACAAGCTCCAACACCTTAATTCTACTTTGAGGAAGCATTACAAACAACTCTCCTTAGAAATCTCAAAGTTAGAGGAAGACTGGAAGAACATTATCTTCGAAGAACTATCTTATGCCAAAGAAAGGGAGATCAGAAGGCTCAAGACCCAG